TCGGAAGCATGTTCCCATGGGAGCAGTGGGAGCACAATTCTCCCAAGGCCTCCCATTCTCCCTTCCTTGGCGGGAGCATGGCTCTTGGCGGGAGCACACGTCACGTGATCACCGCGGGGTTGTCGTCGTGCCTTTGGTGTCATCCTGAGTGGTTCTCCAACCACTCGCCATTCCAACAAGGGAAGAATCCTTCTGCTTGTTACTTGTAACATTATCCCCCTTCTTAGGCGTATCGTCCCGATACCCTAGGTTATCGTTTTCCCGTGCCAATTCGTGAGGCGTGGGCTGCATATAAGGTCGGTAGGCCCCGGGCCATTGTAACCATCCCTTCCCTCTAGCCTTCCTAACCATGCCCAAGGTCCCATCTTCTGCTCGCGATACCGTGTTAACTTCGACTCAACGACGCCAGGCTCAGTCCGATCGGGTTCGTCGTCAAGGGAAAGAGATGACTTTCCGCTGCAAGCGCTGCGAGAAGAAGAATCTTCGTTGCTTTGTGGATACTGCGTCCGGGCAGTGTGCTAGTTGTATTGCTGTAAAGGCTGAGTGTAGCTTGTTTGTGACTAAGGAAGAGTGGGAAAAGGTGGAGGCCGAGAAGCGTCAAAAGCGTATTGACATTGCTCGTCTTCGGTCTCAGCGTGCTCAGCTTGATGCTCAGCTGTCGCAGCGGGAGTTGGAGCTTTTGGAGATCGAGGCGCAGGAGCGATCATTCGCTGATCGTGATCATGCCCTTCTGAATCTTCAAAATCGTAAAAAAGAGGAGGCTGAGGGGAGTTCCGCCCCTGGTATGGAGTTTCCGGCAACCGAACCATCGCTACCCGTACAATCGACTGACCCGGGCTGGTTACAGGCTGATTACTCTTCTTCTTCTTTCGACCCTTTACCTCTTGATTACTTCCTTTCCTACGAGAATCCGATTCTCGCTTCTGTGGATTTTTCCGATGGTACTCACGTACCAGTGACTTGCAGTTCGTCAAATTTTCCCCCGGTTCCCAAGTGTTATAGCTCTCTGGCCATCCTTGCCATTTGACTAGGTACTTCCACTGACTGCCGATTTTCCGTAGGTCCTTGATTTCCTCGACTACGTACTCGTCGTCTTCGAGCTCGATATCTTCCATTAGCTCGGCGTTTTGGGGTGCTGGTTCCAATAGCTTCTTGTGGAACACGTTGTGTATGCGCATGCCTGGTGGTAGCCGGAGTTTGTAGTTTACCGGTCCAATTGTCTCTAGGATTTCAAATGGTCCTAATCGGAGATTATCCAGTTTCTTGCTTGGCCGTTTAGTCTTCAGGTTTTGTTGTGACAAGAAGACTTTGTCCCCCTTCTTAAAGGTTAGTCCCTCAATCCTTTGTTTATTCGCAGCCTTGGATGCCGTAAGGTTCCTGTAAGCTATATTCTTGCTCAATTGCTCGTGCAATTCTCGCATTAGTCGAGCTTTGTCGTCTGCTCCAACTGCAATGCTTTCAATATCCTTCGGATCTCGATGAGCAACCGGCTCATATCCGTAGTTCGCGTAGTGCGGAGAGTATTTCGTCGTTGCCGATTTTCTACTATTGTACGCCAATTGTGCTGTCGGCAAGAGCTCAACCTAGTTGTCTTGCAGCTTGTTGGTGTAGAATCGCAAATACTCCTCCAGCGTCTGGTTCGTTCGTTCCGTCTGTCCGTCTGTTTCTGGGTGAAAGCTAGTCGATAGCTTTTTCTTGATTCCCATCTTTGCTAGGAACGTTAACTAATGTTTCGACGTGAACAGCTTATCTCTGTCTGTAATAAATTCCTCAGGTATCCCATGCTCTGATACTAGTGCTTTCTAGACTTTATACGCGCATTCATCTGCCGTAATAGTTTCTTCTGTGGGCACAAACTTGGCTTCTTTAGTCAATCGACATACGATTACTAGGATTGTGTCGCAAAGTCGAGCTGATCCTGGTTCTAACGATTTTGGGAGCTTCACTATGAAGTCTATCGTTACACTACTCCATGGTCGTGTTGGTGGCGGTAAGGGTTGTAACAGGCCGTAGGGCTTATGTCTCTTGGGCTTGTTCTAGTGACATGCTAAACAGTTGCCTAGGACTTCCTGCACCTTCGCTCGCAAGCGTGGTATATTGAACATCCTTTTCAGTCTTCTGACCATTTCGTCTACCGCTGCGTGTCCATATTCTAGGGACTCGTGCAGGGTCTTGATGAGTTCTGTTCTCATATGAGGAGGCACGTACGTTCGTGTTCCTTCTCTCAAAGCCGTGAGTTCTCTCCCATCGTTTGTTACTTCTGGCGGATATTCTGGTTCCTGTCGCCATTGCGTGGCTTTCTCTTGCCATTGTTGTTGAAGAGTCGTGACTTGGTGAGCTACTACGCTGACCTTGACTAGGTCAGGCTTGTTATACCTCAAGCTTCCATCAGGCATCTGCCTAAGGACTGCGTTGTATGGCTCCTTGTGTCCTTCTTCTTGTAGGTCGGATCTTCGGCTTAGAGCATTAGCGGCTCCGTTAAGCGATCCCGCTCGGTGCGTTATTTTAAAGTCGAATTGGGCGAGCATTTCGGCCCATCAAACTTGTCGTCGGTTGAGTTTCTTGGTTGTCATGAAACTCGTTAGGTTCTGGTGATTGGTGAATACTTCGATCATGTCTAGGAGACCTAACAGGTACACCTCCCATTGTTCAAAGGCGTTGACTACTCCAAGTAGTTCCTTGTCGTGAACATCGTAGTTTAGTTCTGCTCCTAAGAACTTTCGTGAATGGTAGAACACTAGTCTCTATTTCCCATCTAGGCACTGCTGTGACAGTACAGCTCCTAGTGCGTAATCGGACGCATCGGTCTCAACTCTGGTTTTCCGTCTTGGATCGTACATCTCCAGTACGGGTGCTTCGAGGAACATCTGCTTTAGTTCTTCAAAGGCTTCCTGACATTCTTTGGTCCATTTAAACCCTATATCTTTCTTCGTAATCTCCATGAGTGGTGTCGTAATCTAGGAGTAATTCCTGATAAACTTTTAGTAGAAGTTCGCAAATCCTAGGAAGGATTGCACGTCCTTAACTGTTTTAGGTTTTGGCTATTCCTATATAGTCTGGATTTTCTTTAGATTCATCTTAACACCTTCTGTTGAGATAATAAAGCCTAGGAATTCTGTTTCCTGCGTGTGGAATTCACACTTCTTGGCTTGAAGGTATAGCTTATATTCTTTAAGCTTTCGTAAGACCTTCTTGACATGTTCGACATGTTCTTTGAGCGATCCTCTAGAGTACACCAGTACATCGTCTAGGTACGCTGTCGCGAAGATTCCAAGGTATTCGTGGAGAGCGCTGTTGATGACTGATTGAAAGGTTGCCGGCGCATTCGTCAATCCGAACGGCATTACCGTATACTCGAACAGTCCATATTTTGTCTTGAACGCTGTCTTCCATTCGTCTCCTTCCTTGATCCTAATCCGGTAAAATCCCTCCCGGACATCGAACTTCGTGAACCACTTAGCTCCCTGGAGTCGATCCATGAGCTCCAATATGAGTGGTAGTGGGTATCTATTCTTTTGAGTAACCCCGTTCAACCTTCTGTAGTCGACGCACAGTCGCCACTTTCCGTTGGGCTTCTTTACGAACAATATTGGTGAGGCCATCAGGCCTGATCCTGGTCTGATGAATCCTTTCTTCAGATTCTTCCAGAGGTATTCCTTAAGCTCAGCATCGTGCTCGGGCGATATAGGATACATTCCTCCTGGCGTCAACTTCGCTCCTTCCTCCAGGATGATCTCGTGATCCCAATCCTGGTGTTCAGCTAGGTCTGTTGCCTCGTTTTCTTCAAATAAATCTTGAAACTCGTTCGTCTGATATTCCTTTGGTATACCCAATAAATCCTTATTTGGCGTATCTAGTGGTAAGGGTCCGTCCTTCGTGGGCGCGACGCGTCTTATCCATATGACTCCTATCTGTCGAGGGTCCTTCGCATAGATTCTCGCGATCTTATGCGGTGAGATCTTGCCGAATCTCCCGTCCTTGGGTGAGCTCTGATTCGTCGGGCGTGTCTCTTGTCGTACTCCAGCAACCTTGCGCGCAGGTTCTCGGCTGAGAATGGTCTTCTTTTGCCAGTCGATGGCCGGGTTATGATCCTGTAACCAATTATACCCAATTAATATTTCTTCCTCTCTAAGGTCTATGATATTGATTTTTATTGTGCTTGTAGTGCCCGCTAATTCTAGCGTTACTGGTTCAGTTTCTAACCATATCATGCCGTTGCCGTAATCCATAGGCTTGTTGTTGGCTAGTACCACAGGTATCGGCGTCTTCTTGACCCTATGTGGTATCTGGTATTTCTCTATCGTCCTTGATAAGATCATGGTATGCATCGCGCCGCTGTCGATGGTCGCGATCATTCGTTTTCCGTGTACAACCACTATTGCTTGTAGCTTCAATCGTAGGCTCTTGGTGTGTTGTACTTGTTTAAGGGTTGTTATAGGACTGCCTTTGCCAGCGTGACCCTGTCTCTAGCGGCATCCTAGTTTTTTGGCCTAGAGAGTCGTCCTTTCTGCGACTTCTTCCCTTTCTAGGGAAAATATCCCGCGCCGTACTTGGCGTTGAAGTGAACGTTACATTAGTCTTCGTAACAGAATCTCCAATAAATGTTCTAGTAAGGTATCTCCTTTGGAGTGTCGTTCGTTACCTCTTTTGGTTGTGGCTTAATTCTTTGAGTCTTTTCTTGGCCTAGCCCGGTGTGCATTCGACAATCTTTTGCTTTGCATTCCTTGGGTATAAGGGTGCTATGGTAGAAGTCGTCTGCCTTCTCCGCATCCTTTCTTTGGTTTTGATGAAACGAGCAGTTGGTTGTGCATTTAACCTAGCACAACTTTTCGTAGGCAATCTGTATCTTTTCTTGCTCGTGTACGGGGCATTGATCCACGCGGCATTCTTCTAGTTCTAGATGGTCGTGGCAACAATCATCTCCTCCGTATCTTGATGCTTCCTTTGCGCGTTCATGCTGACTACATCTCTTGTGTTTGCAGTCGACCTAATGCAGGTCCTTGTGCTTCGTGCGTTGGCCTTTTTGAGGTGCTTCTTAGTCTAAGACCTCAGTTAATTCTATAAAGTATGGCTGTTTCCTTTGTGCTTGTTGTATAATCTTAGTGGCGTTTAGTCCCGTGACGACTATCCTTCCTATCTTGGAGATATAGTCGTTGGCTTAGTGTGTGTTGTCTCCACATGTCTAACACTATCCTTAGGCCAATTGTTGTAGAGTGTCCATGCCGCTAACGGTCTAGTCCTCCGCCTGGGGTACGTCCCATTCGATACTTGGTTGGGCTAGTTTGGGGATGACTACGTATTCTGGGCTAGTGGCTCTTCGTGCCTCGTTATAGAGGTCTACATCGCTAAGATTGTCCTCTAACGTGAGATCGTGTCTGGGGTATGGCGTGGATAGTCTGATCATCTTGACCTTGACTATTGCCTGCTTGCTGGTTTCGTTCTTCGGGCAATCTCTGCGGAAGTGTCCTACTTCGCCGCATTAGAGACATGCCTTATTGTCGAAGCGCTTTTGTCGTTCGTCCTTGGAGACACTATCTTGGTTTTTCTAGGAATTTTTTTTGTTCTTACTCTTGTCTTGGACTTTACTGGTCATGACGGTGTCACCGTCCCTGTCTGTGCGGTTTCGCTGTTTCTTCATGTTGGCCACTGTAGGCTGAAATCGTCCCTTTTGCTGGGCTCGTTCCCACAGTTGGTTGTCGATTCGGGTGGCTAGCTCGACTAGCTTATGAAGTGTGTCGGGTTTGTCGTGGTGCACAAGACCGTCTTTGACATTGTCCTTAAGTCCGGCTTCGAATACCGTTCGAAGTGCTGCGTCGTCCTAGTCGATTTTGGCTTGGAGCTGTTTGAACTTGGCTGTGTACGCTGATACGGACTTGGTTTGCCTTAAGCAAGTAATTGCTTTCTCCGCTTGGTTCTTTGCGTCTACTTCCCTAAAGATGCGTCCTATTTCTTCTTTAAAACTTTCCTAATCCTTAAACAAGGCCTTAGTTTCTTCTCTAGTTCCGTGGGTAGTGGGTGAGGTCAAGAAATCCTCAACATATAGCTGCATCCACATAGCTGCTTTGCCCTTTATGTGTGTGTTGGCCATTAGGATCTTTTCCTAGTCGTTGGGTACTTAGTTGAATCCACAGTACAGGTCGATGTTGGTGAGGAACGTCCTTAGTTCGTTTCGTCCTCCTTCATATTTCTCGGGTACTGCTATCTTGGGTTTTGGGGGTGGTTTCTCGTTAGGCGTAGCCATAAGCTGGCTTACCATCTAGGCCATCATTTCTTGCATGGCTGCCATCTGCTTGGCTTGGTCGCTATGCTGCTTTTCCTGCATGCGTAGCCTTCGCTTAAGATCTCGTACCTCGGCCTGGTTCGTGTCGTTGTTCTCGTCATCTGAAGAGTCAGAATCCGAACCACTTCCTTCGAGCATCTCGTCATCGAGAGCTGGTGAGGGCGTAGGGGCCGCAGCCGTGGGCTCCTGTCCCTGGGTGAACTGGTTTCCGTTGTGGGCCATTATAGTAATCTTATTCGAGCGAACTATTGGTTAAACTCCTCTACTGAATTCGGTGGTGGTCAAAGTGTTACACGGGGTTCGACTATACTTAGCTAGGACTCGATCCGGGTTAGGGCGAGTCAGCGGGTTCGTGGTAAGCCGTGTGATTGCTGAGTAATTCAAGTGGAAAAGAGTTATAGAGGTTTAACTGATAGTAAAGACAATCAATTCTATAGTAAGATAGAATAACAAAGTACCAATCTTGTTAAGTAAAGAACTTGTAAGAGAGTACAGTATAATAAGTTGACCACAACGAGTGTAATAATGAAATCCAACACATTCTTATACCCATTGCTTTCCAGTCCTGCCATCCTGTCCATCCCATCTTTCTGCCTCTTGGCGGGATGTCTGGGATGGCATACCATCCCAAGACCCACTGCCATCCCAGTCTTGGCGGGATGTCTCGTCTTGGCGGGATGGCACGTCACGTGATCACCGCGGGGTTGTCGTCATGCCTTTGGTGTCATCCCAAGTGATTCTCCAACCACTTGCCATTCCT